GAACCAGGCGGGGTGATGGGACGGTGTTGATGTTCCTACACACTGACCCAGGTGGGGTGATGGGACGGTGTAGAAGTTCCTACACACTGACCCAGGTGGGGTGATGGGACGGGTGTTGAAGTTCCTACACACTGACCCAGGTGGGGTGATGGCACAGAGTAGGCGTTCCTACACACTGACCCAGGTGGGGTGATGGCACAGAGTAGGCGTTCCTACACACTGACCCAGGTGGGTGGATGGGACAGGTATGGCACAGAGTAGATGTTCCTACACACACTGACCCAGGTGGGGTGATGGGACGGTGTTGAAGTTCCTACACACTGACCCAGGTGGGGTGATGGCACAGAGTAGGCGTTCCTACACACTGACCCAGGTGGGGTGATGGCACAGAGTAGGCGTTCCTACACACTGACCCAGGTGGGGTGATGGCACAGAGTAGGCGTTCCTACACACTGACCCAGGTGGGGTGGGCACAGATGGGACGGTGTTGAAGTTCCTACACACTGACCCAGGTGGGGTGATGGCACAGAGTAGGCGTTCCTACACACTGACCCAGGTGGGGTGATGGGACGGTGTTGAAGTTCCTACACACTGACCCAGGTGGGGTGATGGCACAGAGTAGGCGTTCCTACACACTGGCCCAGGTGGGGTGATGGCACAGAGTAGATGTTCCTACACACTGACCCAGGTGGGGTGATGGGACGGTGTTGAAGTTCCTACACACTGACCCAGGTGGGGTGATGGCACAGAGTAGGCGTTCCTACACACTGACCCAGGTGGGGTGATGGCACAGAGTAGGCGTTCCTACACACTGACCCAGGTGGGGTGATGGCACAGAGTAGGCGTTCCTACACACTGAACTGGCAGTCCCCGGGTCCCCCCTATATTAGCCGACAGGGTAAATATTGCCGCGCACTTTACATTCTGCAGAAATTAAGATTGATGGGACAACAGTCAGTCTGCCCCCCAATGACAGGGTACTAGGCGTAACCCTGCACTCTGAACTCTCCTCCCGGCCCCACATCCAATCACAGTCCAAGTCTTGCTGCCTCAACCTCCCCAACATCTCCAAAATATGCCCTTCCTTCCATGGTCATCTCTCGTCTACTGCAACTCCCTCCTCATTGGATGACCTTTACATAGGCCACCCCCCCTCCAGTCCATCATAAATCCTGCTGCCAGACTCCTTACCAACCGTTCAGTGTCCTCCACCCCTCTCTACCAATCCCTGCACTGGCCTCCATTCAGTGTCCTCCATCCCTCTCTGCTAATCCCTCCACTGGCCTCCATTCAGTGTCCTCCACCCCTCTCTGCTAATCCCTCCACTGGCCTCCATTCAGTGTCCTCCATCCCTCTCTGCTAATCCCTCCATTGGCCTCCACTCAGTGTCCTCCACCCCTCTCTGCCAATCTCTCCACTGGCCTCCATTCAGTGTCCTCCATCCCTCTCTGCCAATCCCTCCACTGGCCTCCACTCAGTGTCCTCCACCCCTCTCTGCCAATCCCTCCATTGGCCTCCATTCAGTGTCCTCCACCCCTCTCTGCCAATCCCTCCATTGGCCTCCACTTCAGTGTCCTCCACCCCTCTCTGCCAATCCCTGCACTGGCCTCCATTCAGTGTCCTCCATCCCTCTCTCTGCCAATCCCTCCATTGGCCTCCATTCAGTGTCCTCCATCCCCCTCCCTGCCAATCTCTCCACTGGCCTCCATTCAGTGTCCTCCACCCCTCCTCTCTACCAATCCCTGCCACTGGCCTCCATTCAGTGTCCTTCCCACCCTCTGCCAATCCCTTCCACTGGCCTCCATTCAATTCATGTCCTCCACCCCTCTCTGCCAATCCCTCCACTGGCCTCCACTCAGTGTCCTCCACCCCTCTCTGCCAATCCCTCCACTGGCCTCCACTCAGTGTCCTCCACCCCCTCTGCCAATCCCTCCACTGGCCTCCATTCAGTGTCCTCCACCCCTCTCTGCCAATCCCTCCACTGGCCTCCATTCAGTGTCCTCCACCCCTCTCTGCCAATCCTCCAATGACCTCCATTCAGTGTCCTCCACCCCTCTCTGCCAATCCCTCCACTGGCCTCCATTCAGTGTCCTCCACCCCTCTCTGCCAATCCCTCCACTGGCCCCCATTCAGTGTCCTCCACCCCTCTCTGCCAATCCCTCCACTGGCCTCCATTCAGTGTCCTCCACCCCTCTCTGCCAATCCCTCCACTGGCCCTCCATTCAGTGTCCTCCACCCCTCTCTGCCAATCCTCCCACTGGCCTCCATTCAGTGTCCTCCACCCCTCCTGCCAATCCCTCCACTGGCCTCCATTCAGTGTCCTCCACCCCTCTCTGCCAATCCCTCCACTGGCCTCCATTCAGTGTCCTCCACCCCTCTCTCCCAATCCCTCCACTGGCCTCCATTCAGTGTCCTCCACCCCTCTCTGCCAATCCCTCACTGGCTCCATTCAGTGTCCTCCACCCCCCTCTGCAATTCCTCCACTGACCTCCATTCAGTGTCCTCCACCCCTCTCTGCCAATCCCTCCACTGGCCTCCATTCAGTGTCCTCCACCCCTCTCTGCCAATCCCTCCACTGGCCTCCATCAGTGTCCTCTGCCCCTCTCTGCCAATCCCTCCACTGGCCTCCATTCAGTGTCCTCCCCCCCCCTCTGTCAATCCTCCACTGGCCTCCATTCAGTGTCCTCCACCCCTCTCTGCCAATCCCTCCCCTCACTGGCCTCCATTCAGTGTCCTCCACCCCTCTCTGCCAATCCCTCCACTGACCTCCATTCTGTGTCCTCCTCCCCTCTCTGCCAATCCCTCCACTGACCTCCATCCCTCTCTGCCAATCCCCTCCACTGGTCTCCATTCAGTGTCCTCCACCCCTCTCTGCCAATCCCTCCACGTTGGCTCCATTCAGTGTCCTCCACCCCTCTCTGCCAATCCCTCCACTGGCCTCCATTCAGTGTCCTCCACCCCTCTCTGCCAATCCCTCCACTGGCCTCCATTCAGTGTCCTCCACCCCTCTCTGCCAATCCCTCCACTGACCTCCATCCCTCTCTCTGCCAATCCCTCCACTGGCCTCCATTCAGTGTCCTCCACCCCTCTCTGCCAATCCCCACTCCACTGACCTCCATCCCTCTCTGCCAATCCCTCCACTGGCCTCCATTCAGTGTCCTCTCCACCCCCCCTCTGCCAATCCCTCCACTGGCCTCCATTCAGTGTCCTCCACCCCTCTCTGCCAATCCTCCACTGACCTCCATTCAGTGTCCTCCACCCCTCTCTGCAAATCCCTCCACTGACCTCCATTCAGTGTCCTCCCCCCCCCTCTGTCATTCCCTCCACTGACCTCCCTCCCCCTCTGCCAATCCCTCCACTGGCCTCCATTCAGTGTCCTCCCCCCCTCTCTGCCAATCCCTCCACTGGCCTCCACTCAGTGTCCTCCCCCCCCCCTCTGTCCAATTCCCTCCACTGACCTCCACTCAGTGTCCTCCACCCCTCTCTGCCAATCCCTCCACTGGCCTCCATTCAGTGTCCTCCACCCCTCTCTGCCAATCCCTCCACTGGCCTCCATTCAGTGTCCTCCCCCCCCCTCTCTGCCAATCCCTCCACTCTCCGCTCCTCCCAGGACCTCCTCCTCCTCTCAAGCTCGTCTCCAGGACTTTTCCAGAGCCTTTCATATCCTCTAGACTATCCGACAGAAAATGTGGGGGGGAGGGACTATCCTGCAGAAAATGTGGGGGGGAGGGACTATCCTGCAGAACATGTGGGGGTGCGGGACTGTCCTGCAGGACATGTGGGGGTGCGGGATTGTCCCTGCAGGACATGTGAGGGTGCGGGATTGTCCTGCAGGACATGTGGGGTGCGGGATTGTCCTGCAGGACATGTGGGGGTGCGGGATTGTCCTGCAGGACATGTGGGGGTGCGGGGATTGTCCTGCAGGACATGTGGGGGTGCGGGATTGTCCTGCAGGAGGACATGTGGGGTGCGGGATTGTCCTGCAGGACATGTGGGGGTGCGGGACTGTCCTGCAGGACATGTGAGGGGATTGTCCTGCAGGACATGTGGGGGTGCGGGATTGTCCTGCAGGACATGTGAGGGATTGTCCTGCAGGACATGTGGGGTGCGGGATTGTCCTGCAGGACATGTGGGGGTGCGGGACTGTCCTGCAGGACATGTGGGGGTGCGGGATTGTCCTGCAGGACATGTGGGGGTGCGGGATTGTCCTGCAGGACATGTGAGGGTGCGGGATTGTCCTGCAGGACATGTGGGGGTGCGGGACTGTCCTGCAGGACATGTGGGGGTGCGGGACTGTCCTGCAGGACATGTGGGGGTGCGGGATTGTCCTGCAGGACATGTCCTGGGGTGTGCGGGACTGTCCTGCAGGACATGTGGGGTGCGGGATTGTCCTGCAGGACATGTGAGGGATTGTCCCTGCAGGACATGTGGGGGTGCGGGACTGTCCTGCAGGACATGTGGGGGTGCGGGACTGTCCTGCAGGACATGTGGGGGTGCGGGATTGTCCTGCAGGACATGTGGGGGTGCGGGATGTCCTGCAGGACATGTGGGGGTGCGGGATTGTCCTGCAGGACATGTGGGGGTGCGGGATTGTCCTGCAGGACATGGGGGGTGCGGGACTGTCCTGCAGGACATGTGGGGGTGCGGGATTGTCCTGCAGGACATGTGGGGGTGCGGGATTGTCCTGCAGGACATGTGGGGGTGCGGGACTGTCCGGACTGCAGGACATGTGGGGGTGCGGGATTGTCCTGCAGGACATGTGGGGGTGCGGGACTGTCCTGCAGGACATGTGGGGGTGCGGGATTGTCCTGCAGGACATGTGGGGGTGCGGGGGGGTTGCGGGACTGTCCTGCAGGACATGTGGGGGTGCGGGATTGTCCTGTAGCACGTGGACAGCGATGGGTGCCAAGGACAGAGTTCCATCTGACAGTGGGGTCCCGGGGGGGGCGCGGTCGGTGGGTCCATTTATCGGGATTGATGTCTCTCTCTCTCGGTCACAGGAGTCCCTTTCCCACGGAACTTCCAGCAGGTGTGTACGAAGATTCTGACCCGCCTTTTCCGTGTCTTCGTCCACGTGTACATCCACCACTTCGATGGCGTGATCAGTGTGGGAGCCGAGGCACACGTCAACACCTGCTACAAACACTTCTACTACTTCATCACCGAGTTCAGCCTCATCCATCACCGGGAGCTCGAGCCGCTGGTAAGTTTCCGATGTGACGTGGGGGCTCCTCACATGGAGGTCTGTTCTGGGGCCACGTCCTCTCCAGCCTGGGGCCCAGATTCTACAATCTCCTTCACACCTTCCAGGAGACAATCTGATTGGATGTAAACCAAACTGAGAATTGGGTAGACTCACAGGAGATTGTACAATCAGATTGTAAGGATCGGCTTTGGTCCCAAAGGCACCACGGTGAGATCCGATGGCGAAGTTCGGCCACGAATCGGTCAGATCACACGGATTGTACAGAAATCTTCAGATTCCAAGTATATAAAAGTGGAATTCCAGTCGTAGAAATGTCCCCTCCCCCACCTCACACCTATGATGACCAACCTGTGCAATAAAGACGCGTGTACTTACCTGATGTCAGCCTACTCCAGTCACATGATCTCCCATGTCAGTCAGCAGTGGCTGCAGGGGAGAGAGGGAGCAGCTGCAGGGGAGAGGAGGGAGGAGGGAGCAGCTGCAGGGGAGAGGAGGGAGCGGCTGCAGGAGAGAGGAGGGAGCGGCTGCAGGGGAGCAGGAGAGAGGAGGGAGCGGCTGCAGTGGAGAGGAGGGAGCGGCTGCAGGAGAGAGGAGGGAGCGGCTGCAGGGGAGCAGGAGAGAGGAGGGAGCGGCTGCAGGGGAGCAGGAGAGAGGAGGGAGCGGCTGCAGGGGAGAGGAGGGAGCGGCTGCAGGGGAGCAGGAGAGAGGGGAGGGAGCGGCTGCAGGGGAGCAGGAGAGAGGAGGGAGCGGCTGCAGGGGAGCAGGAGAGAGGAGGGAGCGGCTGCAGTGGAGAGGAGGGGAGCGGCTGCAGGGGAGAGGAGGGAGCGGCTGCAGGGGAGCAGGAGAGAGGAGGGGAGCGGCTGCAGGGGAGCAGGAGAGAGGAGGGAGCGGCTGCAGGGGAGCAGGAGAGAGGAGGGAGCGGCTGCAGGGGAGCAGGAGAGAGGAGGGAGCGGCTGCAGTGGAGAGGAGGGAGCGGCTGCAGGGGAGAGGAGGGAGCGGCTGCAGGGGAGAGGAGGGAGCGGCTGCAGGGCAGGGGAGAGGAGGGAGCGGCTGCAGGGGAGAGGAGGGAGCGGCTGCAGGGGAGCAGGAGAGAGGAGGGAGTGGCTGCAGTGGAGAGGAGGGAGCGGCTGCAGGGGAGAGGAGGGAGCACTGATAACGGCTGGTAGAGCCTGGAGTGACCCATAGACTCCCATGGCCCAGCCGTTGTCCGTGCTCCTCCCTCTCTCCTCCAGCCGCTCCCTCCTCTCTCCTGCAGCCGCTCTCTCCTCTCTCCTGCTCCCCTGCAGCCACTCCCTCCTCTCCCCTGCAGCCACTCCCCCCTCTCTCCTGCAGCCGCTCCCCTGCAGCCGCTCCCTCCTCTCCCCTGCAGCCGCTCCCTCCTCTCCCCTGCAGCCGCCCCTCTCCTCTCCCTGCAGCAGCCCCCCCTCTCTCTCCCCTGCAGCCGCCCCCTCCTCTCCCCTGCAGCCGCTCCCTCTTCTCCCCTGCAGCCGCTCCCTCCTCTCCCCCCTGCAGCCGCCCCCCTCCTCTCCCCTGCAGCCGCCCCCTCCTCTCCCCTGCAGCCGCCCCCTCCTCTCCCCTGCAGCCGCTCCCTCTTCTCCCCTGCAGCCGCTCCCTCCTCTCCCCTGCAGCGGCTGCTGACTGACGCGGGAGATCACATGACCAGAGCATGCTAACAGGTAATTACATTAATAAGCTCCTCCCACAATCTGGCGTCACAGTATTAGTACCTCAAGCAGTTCTCTAATCCCCGAGCCGGACACAGCGATTGTTCGGGAAAATGTCCGCAATCCGGAGACAGATGAGGATTGGAGACGGTCTGCACATCAATGTATTCACCCAGCATTCCCCCGGGATTCCGGGATGTGTGGATCGGGGGGGGGGGGGGGGGGGGGGGGGGGGGGGAGACACAGTGCAGCGCTCCCTGCAGCCTCTGGAGGTTTCCCGACACCTTCGGAAAGATTCCATCTTCGCACACACGTCGTCACTCACCTCCCCCTGCTCCTGGCCCCACAGACGTGTCATTGAAGGGTGGTGAGAGCGGCACGCACACACGGGGCCCACGTGTCGGGATTACATCATCCTCACTATCAATAACACCATGACTCAGCCGACCTATCAGATGTCCCGTGTGTCACCCAGGAATACAACCTGACAAACCCATCCCCCGACATACAGACTTCCCAGGGGCCCCATAAATCCTTAGCACACAGACTTCCCAGGGGCCCCATAAATCCTTAGCACACAGACTTCCCAGGGGCCCCATATATAAATCCTGAGTACATACAGACTGATCAGGGGACCCATAAATCCTGAGTACATACAGACCACTCAGGGGCCCCATAAATCCTGAGTACATACAGACCACTCAGGGGCCCCATAAATCCTGAGTACATACAGACCACTCAGGGGCCCCATAGATAAATCCTAAGTGCACACAGACTTCCCAGGGGCCCCATATATAAATCCTTAGCACACACAGACTTCCCAGGGGCCCCATAGATAAATCCTGAGTACATACAGACCACTCAGGGGCCCCATAAATCCTGAGTACATACAGACCACTCAGGGGCCCCATAAATCCTGAGTACATACAGACCACTCAGGGGCCCCATAGATAAATCCTAAGTGCACACAGACCGCTCAGGGGCCCATAGATATATTCGGAGTACAAACAGACCGCTCAGGGGCCCAATAGATAAATCCTGAATACATGCAGACCACTCAGGGGCCCCATAGATAAATCCTGAATACATGCAGACCACTCAGGGGCCCCATAGATAAATCCTAAGTGCACACAGACCGCTCAGGGGCCCATAGATATATTCGGAGTACAAACAGACCGCTCAGGGGCCCAATAGATAAATCCTGAATACATGCAGACCACTCAGGGGCCCCATAGATAAATCCTGAATACATGCAGACCACTCAGGGGCCCCATAGATAAATCCTGAATACATGCAGACCACTCAGGGGCCCCATAGATAAATCATGAGTACAGGAATAGGGGGACTAACATACAGACCACTCAGGGGCCCCATAGACAACATTCTTTTAATTTGGGCAGTTCAGTTGCTATAGGTAACAAAGGCAGATGTGGACCACCTACTGACTATGGAGGTGCAGCCCCCCCCCCCCCCCCCCCCGGACAGCCAGAACCATCCTGTTGGGTTCCTCTGGGATCTGCTGAGAATTGGACTCATCTGATCTCATACACTTCTCTTCCCAGAGTAGAATGTTCTAGAATGTTCTCTGTCCCCAACCCTGAGAATGCGAATGATTCCAGAAACCTTTCTTTTTACAGAGAGAGATGACGGAGAAAATCTGCCACTGATGCCACCTCCAGATGACCGTTCTGTATCATGGAATATTCCGGAAGGCTGGGCCTCCAATGTGGACTCTACACAGCCTGGGTGATGACACCAGCGTCTGATGGCTCTCTATTCTAGATGGTCGGGCCTCCAATGTGAACTCTATACAGCCTGCCAGATGACACCAGCATCTGATGGCTGTTACAGAAGGCCAGACCTCCAATGTGAACTCTAGGGTCTGATGGCTCTCTATTCCAGAAGACTAGGTCTCCAGTGTGGCCTCCACACAGCCTGGCAGAGGACACCAGGGCCTGATGGCTCTCTATTCCAGAAGACTAGGTCTCCAGTGTGGCCTCCACACAGCCTGGCAGAGGACACCAGGGCCTGATGGCTGTCTATTCCAGAAGACTAGGTCTCCAGTGTGGCCTCCACACAGCCTGGCAGAGGACACCAGGGTCTGATGGCTCTCTATTCCAGAAGACTAGGTCTCCAGTGTGGCCTCCACACAGCCTGGCAGAGGACACCAGGGTCTGATGGCTCTCTATTCCAGAAGACTAGGTCTCCAGTGTGGCCTCCACACAGCGTGGCAGAGGACACCAGGGTCTGATGGCTGTCTATTCCAGAAGACTAGGTCTCCAGTGTGGCCTCCACACAGCCTGGCAGAGGACACCAGGGTCTGATGGCTCTCTATTCCAGAAGACTAGGTCTCCAGTGTGGCCTCCACACAGCCTGGCAGAGGACACCAGGGCCTGATGGCTGTCTATTCCAGAAGACTAGGTCTCCAGTGTGGCCTCCACACAGCCTGGCAGAGGACACCAGGGCCTGATGGCTCTCTATTCCTGACTAGGTCTCCAGTGTGGCCTCCAAACAGCCTGACAGAGGACACCAGGGTCTGATGGCTCTCTATTCCTGACTAGGTCTCCAGTGTGGCCTCCACACAGCCTGGCAGAGGACACCAGGGTCTGATGGCTCTCTATTCCAGAAGACTAGGTCTCCAGTGTGGCCTCCACACAGCCTGGCAGAGGACACCAGGGTCTGATGGCTCTCTATTCCAGAAGACTAGGTCTCCAGTGTGGCCTCCACACAGCCTGGCAGAGGACACCAGGGTCTGATGGCTCTCTATTCCAGAAGACTAGGTCTCCAGTGTGGCCTCCACACAGCGTGGCAGAGGACACCAGGGCCTGATGGCTCTCTATTCCAGAAGACTAGGTCTCCAGTGTGGCCTCCACACAGCGTGGCAGAGGACACCAGGGTCTGATGGCTCTATAAAGGATTGTCTTGTCACAGACTGACTACTGAGAGAAGGCCGGCAATGAAAGGGTTCTTCATGGCTTCCCGGAAGGGATGATTGTGTTTTTATATTAAACAAATTTATATCTATACAGTAAATACGCCTCGAATTATACTCCACCCACAATGATATATGGGGTGTATGGGGTGGTGCAGCCGCAGACCGGTCAGGGTGCCCATGCTGACCCGTGTCCTCAGCCAACAGTGCCTACAAGGGGCACGTGAGCATTAGAATTGGACCACGGAGCCATGGAAGAAGGTGGCCTGGTCTGATGAGTCATGTGACCAGGTGGGCGTGTCCCTAGGGGAAGATATGGCACTAGGATGCAGTATGGGAAGAAGACAAGCCTGCGGGGGCAGTTCCATCTTGGCTCTGCCATCCATGTGGATGTTACTCTGGAGTCCAGGCCTGGACGGGGCAGTTCCATCTTGGCTCTGCCATCCACGTGGATGTTACTCTGGAGTCCAGGCCTGGGCAGGGCAGTTCCATCTTGGCTCTGCCATCCACGTGGATGTTACTCTGGAGTCCAGGCCTGGACGGGGCAGTTCCATCTTGGCTCTGTCATCCATGTGGATGTTACTCTGGAGTCCAGGCCTGGACGGGGCAGTTCCATCTTGGCTCTGCCATCCATGTGGATGTTGCTCTGGAGTCCAGGCCTGGATGGGGCAGTTCCATCTTGGCTCTGTCATCCATGTGGATGTTACTCTGGAGTCCAGGCCTGGACGGGGCAGTTCAATCTTGGCTCTGCCATCCATGTGGATGTTACTCTGGAGTCCAGGCCTGGACGGGGCAGTTCCATCTTGGCTCTGCCATCCACGTGGATGTTACTCTGGAGTCCAGGCCTGGACGGGGCAGTTCCATCTTGGCTCTGCCATCCATGTGGATGTTACTCTGGAGTCCAGGCCTGGACGGGGCAGTTCCATCTTGGCTCTGCCATCCACGTGGATGTTACTCTGGAGTCCAGGCCTGGACGGGGCAGTTCAATCTTGGCTCTGCCATCCATGTGGATGTTACTCTGGAGTCCAGGCCTGGACGGGGCAGTTCAATCTTGGCTCTGCCATCCATGTGGATGTTACTCTGGAGTCCAGGCCTGGACGGGGCAGTTCCATCTTGGCTCTGCCATCCATGTGGATGTTACTCTGGAGTCCAGGCCTGGACGGGCTCTTTGGGCGGCAAAAGAGGGACCTTCTCAATATTGGGTGGGTGGTCATAATGTTGTGGCTGATCAGTGTATATGACTGGGGGGTACATGAACTCTATAATTATATAAGATCAGGAGGTTCCGGGTCCTTCAATACGGGAAGATGGAGCCAGGATCTGATCTGAGAGACACAACCCCGAGGGGTACACGGCCTGTACACCCCCCATACCAGAAACACAACCCCGAGGGGTACACCGCCTGTACACCCCAATATACCAGGAACACAACCCCGAGGGGTACACCGCCTGTACACCCCCATATACTAGGAACAAAACCCCGAGGGGTACACGGCCTGTACACCCCCATATACCAGGAACAAAACCCCGAGGGGTACACTGCCTGTACACCCCCATATACCAGGAACACAACCCCGAGGGGTACACGGCCTGTACACCCCCATACCAGGAACACAACCCCGAGGGGTACACCGCCTGTACACCCCAATACCAGAAACACAACCCCGAGGGGTACACCGCCTGTACACCCCCATATACCAGGAACACAACCCCGAGGGGTAAACCGCCTGTACACCCCCATACCAGGAACACAACCCGAGGGGTACACGGCCTGTACACCCCAATACCAGGAACACAACCCCGAGGGGTACACCGCCTGTACACCCCCATATACCAGGAACACAACCCCGAGGGGTACACCGCCTGTACACCCCCATATACCAGGAACACAACCCCGAGGGGTACACCGCCTGTACACCCCCATATACCAGGAACACAACCCCGAGGGGTACACCGCCTGTACACCCCCATATACCAGGAACACAACCCCGAGGGGTACACGGCCTGTACACCCCAATACCAGGAACACAACCCCGAGGGGTACACCGCCTGTACACCCCCATATACCAGGAACAAAACCCCGAGGGGTACACGGCCTGCACACCCCCATATACCAGGAACACAACCCCGAGGGGTACACCGCCTGTACACCCCAATACCAGGAACACAACCCCGAGGGGTACACCGCCTGTACACCCCCATACCAGGAACACAACCCCGAGGGGTACACCGCCTGTACACCCCCATACCAGGAACACAACCCTGAGGGGTACACCGCCTGTACACCCCCATATACCAGGAACAAAACCCCGAGGGGTACACCGCCTGTACACCCCCATATACCAGGAACACAACCCCGAGGGGTACACCGCCTGTACACCCCCAATACCAGGAACACAACCCCGAGGGGTACACCGCCTGTACACCCCCATATACCAGGAACAAAACCCCGAGGGGTACACCGCCTGTACACCCCCATATACCAGGAACACAACCCCGAGGGGTACACCGCCTGTACACCCCCATATACCAGGAACAAAACCCCGAGGGGTACACGGCCTGTACACCCCCATACCAGGAACACAACCCCGAGGGGTACACCGCCTGTACACCCCCATATACCTGGAACACAACCCCGAGGGGTACACCGCCTGTACACCCCCATACCAGGAACACAACCCCGAGGGGTACACCGCCTGTACACCCCCATACCAGGAACACAACCCCCGAGGGGTACACCGCCTGTACACCCCCATATACCTGGAACACAACCCTGAGGGGTACACCGCCTGTACACCCCCATATACCTGGAACACAACCCCGAGGGGTACACCGCCTGTACACCCCCATACCAGGAACACAACCCCGAGGGGTACACACCGCCTGTACACCCCCATACCAGGAACACAACCCCGAGGGGTACACGGCCTGTACACCCCCATATACCAGGAACAAAACCCAGGGGTACACGGCCTGTACACCCCCATACCAGGAACACAACCCCGAGGGGTACACCGCCTGTACACCCCCATACCAGGAACACAACCCCGAGGGGTACACGGCCTGTACACCCCCATATACCAGGAACAAAACCCAGAGGGTACACGGCCTGTACACCCCCATACCAGGAACACAACCCCGAGGGGTACACGGCCTGTACACCCCCATATACCAGGAACACACAACCCCGAGGGGTACACGGCCTGTACACTCCAATACCAGGAACACAACCCCGAGGGGTACACCGCCTGTACACCCCCATATACCTGGAACACAACCCCGAGGGGTACACCGCCTGTACACCCCCATACCAGGAACACAACCCCGAGGGGGTACACCGCCTGTACACCCCCATATACCAGGAACACAACCCCGAGGGGTACACGGCCTGTACACCCCCATATACCTGGAACACAACCCCCCTCCCCACATGGGGCCCCCCCAGTATGGTGTATCTATGTCTATTGGTCGGTAGGAGTCAGGTGTGATTTATAAGATGGCGGCTGGTTGGGGTCTGGTCATGATTGGTGATTCAGTACTTAGCCCCTCCCCTAAAGTCACTGTGAGGAGCACTGCTATACTATGTAATTGGGGGGGGGGGGGGGGTGCTGGCAGTGTGGTCGGGATTCTAGGTGGTCGCTCTGATGATATTCACAGACTCCGCCCCCTCTGGTTGGGTTATTACTGGGAATTCCAGGAATATTTCCGTCTGTCCTGTGATCTGCCCCCCCCCCC